GTACCCATCCCTAGACATAAGTATATCAGAGGGTCACCTCAGGTTGAGTATTTTGGAGACAAAGTTGGAGAATCAAGGCTGAGATGGTTCTAATATCTACAGAGGAGGGATGGTGGATTTACTGGACAAAGGATGTTAAAGATGAAGCTGATAGACAGAAGGTAAAGAAGACCACAGAGAGGTTTATGAATGTAGTGAAGGAGGACATATAGGAGTTTGGTGTATAATAAAAGAGGATGAGATGCAGGCAGATGATCCACTGAAGAAACCCCTAAAGAGATCAGCCAAAACAAGAAGACCCTAGACAGTTGGTTGACAAACTTAAATGTACTGTTTCAGTTCCATTTTAAATAAATATTGTATTACAGTAAAATTAATGTTACATTAAAAATCATTTAACTGACCATATGTATACTAAAAAGTTTAAACCAACAAATCCTAAAACCTGAATGATCAGATTTGAATTTTTAGGCTGCCATTTGTGTTTTTGTTATGTGGTTTCACAGTGGTGTCTCTTTCTTTGTAGTATTTCTGAATAATTTTGTCTTCCGCTGGATAGGAAACACCAGGGGGAGAAGATGAGGAAGAGGGAACCTCTGGCCAGCCTCCTTTGAAAAGGTTAAAAGTGGAACCTGAGAAGAAAAAGGAGAAGCGGCACAAGGTTGATGAAGATGAAATACAGAAGATGCAGTAAGACGACCTTTTTAATCTCACAGCTCATCATTCTTATTCTTGAAATTATGTAATTTGCGAAAATTTGCCATAACTCCATAACATTTTCAGAGTTTTGGTGTCATCATTTTCTGAAGAGCAGCTGAATCGCTATGAAATGTACAGACGTTCTGCATTCCCTAAGGCTGCCATTAAAAGGGTAAGTTGTTTTTGTTTGTTTTTTTAATAGAGGAAGTATTAAAAAACCTTGAAAATGTTGTATTGATTTGATGTCTCTTATTTTAAAATTCTAGCTCATCCAGTCAATAACAGGATCATCGGTGTCCCAGAATGTGGTTATTGCCATGTCTGGTATTGCAAAGGTCTTTGCTGGGGAAATTGTCGAGGAAGGTTAGTTGGAGGATTTAAGAAAACCGAAATCACCCAGACTACGAGGTTATATGAATTATAGTTTCATGAGGTGTCTTTGCCTTTACAGCTCTGGATGTTTGTGAGAAGTGGGGAGACACACCACCACTTCAGCCCAAGCACATGAGGGAAGCAGTGAGGAGGCTGAAGAGTAGAGATCAGATTCCCAACACGAAGTACAAGAACATTCTCTTTCACTGACACACCTGAGCTGCAGATTGTATGAGGATGACGGATAAATGCCAGTAATTTAATAAGTGATGCAGAGCATATGGAAAACTCACCATGAAGCCACTTAACACATCTTGCAGCCAAGTAGGCAGTGACTGCAGTCCTGAAGAGCAGTCAAGGCAGCTGCTAAATAACGCTGAGTTGTCATTCACCCCTCAAAGTCGAGGTAAACGTTTTTCTCATCATTAAATTGGTTGCAACTAAACAGTGAGAAATTATGGTTTTATTTAAAACATGTTTTATATTTTAGTAGTCAATGTTTCTTTTTCTTTTTGACTGAAACATTTCAATGTGATTAGGACCAAGCTGCAAATGCAAACATCATTTTTAGTTTGATTCCATATTTAAAAGCCTTCGAATCATTTAAGACCCTTCTTCTCTGTAGCCAATAGTATTAGTTGTTTGACCATGAACTGGAATTGGAAATAGTTTGGACTCAAGACAGACTTGATGGAAAAACTGGGTGCTTGACATTTGTTACTTCAGTTTATATTTTTGTGCAGGTTGTAAACAAGAAGATGAATTCTGTTTAAACTGTATTTGTAAATATTGTACTTTGAGATTAAAGTCAAGTTTGCATTATACTAGTAAAATGAGCAGAATGATACTTTGAGTTTTTTGCTGAGACAGCGCCATAAATTCACTGATACATTGTAACATACAAATATGCATTCAGTTGAAAAAAGATAAAGACAAAATGTGTTTAGCAATTAATCATTTATTTTTTTACTTAAATTAATCTCTACATACTACGTTTGGTTCACAGAACCAGTTTAAAATTAGTCTTAATTAAGTGATGAAGACAATATAAAATTCTATTTAATCCTACACAACTCACAAAAAAAGTGTCCAAACATTTGCATCAATTAGAAAGATTTCACAATTACTCCTCCAGTCATTTGAAGTGATTTACATGAAAACAAGTGCAATCTCCACTATACCACACAGGTGCAAGTAATCCACAAGGTATAACCAACAGAACATCACTTCAGCACATGCATCTAGAGAGAGAACACCACACTCTGGAGTGAATCTTACACCACTCTTTGTCCACTTCCTTTCTGCATGGCACACTGGGAAAAAGTTAGATTTACATAGAAACCCTGGCCTTCTCTGGAGTGCAAATAACCTCCGGTGTAACAGGTAATGAGCAGATTTAACTTAAAGCACCAGTTTTTTTTTGTGGAACAAAAATGCTACTAAACATGGAAGCTTGACTGAGGAGAAAGAAACTGGGTAAACCTCAGAGCTACATGATGCATCCAGCACGGCACGTTCAATTCCGTACCAATATATCCGCCTACCACAGGCATGCAAAAGCAAACACCAACAGCTGAGAAATATATCACATCTCTAAGTGATAATGAGGTTAAAAGGCAGTCTATGTTCTATTACATGTATAGATTGAGGATATTTTGAGTTACACAGGTAATTGATCAGCCCGTAAACGGAAGAACTCCACATCAAAAAAGTGTAGTGTTACGGTTTTTTGTCATGTTTGTGGATAAACTCGAGTGTCTATTGCTTTGACATCTAACATTCCTCTTTAATAACATAAAATGTCGGTCAAAGGCTGTAAATTTGCTAAAGTGCAAATTTAAATTGTAAATTTGCACTTGCTAAAAAAATAAAAGAAATAACATCTTAAATGAAGTGTATGCTGGCAAGTCAACACCACCAGAGGTCTCAGAAGGACCGTTATGAGTTTAAGTGAGTGGAAGATTTCTGTGACAGCTGTGCAACCATTAAACCCCTGCCAAAAGGCAAAATAACAAAACGCTAATTTAACATTAAGACACTTTTAGATAAAATGTAACTGACAGCTTCATGAAATGTTTACCCAACCATCTTGGATAAACAAGTCAATCGCTTCAAATCCATGTAACAGACTTGTGTGGATAATGGGAAAGGACAGAAATTTAAACTTGCAACTGGCCTGAAAAGATCATATCTGCAGATTAGGATTAAATACAGTTAAATATGAGTGTTGTAGTAAATCTGACAAATATACATTACATTATCAGTACCATAGTTCTTATAAATGTCACCTTCTTTGATTGATATGGCTTGAATACAATGTAATAAGTCAAAGCTTAAAAACAAAACACAGGCAGTAAAACAAATGAAGTCTATGATGTCAAATCACTACACACAATACATGTGTACAGAAGTAATAACACTATCAGTCTGAGTTGTTTCCTGGTAAGCTACAAAACACAATTAAAGAGCACAGGTACTATACCATTGCTAGCTGGTATATTCTCAGATGTCTTTATGCCAGAGAACTGGACTGACAAATCCAATCAGGTCAATAAATTGAACCTTGTGTGCAACCTCTCTACCGTCAAGGGAAAGGCACATTGCCTTCATTGGACATTCAGCCACAGAGCACATCGTTTCACAGTACCAAAGAAGCATAATCAACATTTTGCAACTAAAAAAAAATATATACATATATAACACTGGGGAATGATTCAGCCTCTATGCGTAACCATGCCCCCCTGTTGATCAAATAACCAGGTGGAATTTGAAATGAATCAGGCTCGTCATGAAAGCAGTGGAGGTACGCTTTCCCCCTCCTTTTAAAGTGCTTTTTTTCCCTACTTGTCAAAACACATTTTCCACCAAGTGGGAAAAAAACCCCACAAGTTTACTTTACAATTAACAAAAGTAATCTTCGTTACTAAGTCTAGCTCTCTTACTGTCAGTATGTATATGTGCTACATGTAAATTAGCACTGTTCAGGCAGCATGCTTGAGAATATGTTTTGTGAAGTATTGAGATGAACTAGCAGCTGTCTGGCAGTGTCAGTGCATGTGAAAAGAGGTTTTGGCATGTTTTATGTGTGTAATACTGTTGTAACGCAAACAATCACTTGTGAGAATTAAAGCTTAATAATATGTACCTTTGCATGCTGCATGACAAAACACTAAAAACACACAACAAGTTTACCGTCCACACTTATTTGGATGAGAAATTACCAGAAGAAGAAGAGTTGTTTACAGCAGTGAGGACTATCTAGACCGTTAATGAACCTATGTTAGTTCACCAACTTCCCCATCCAGTAATTGTTATGTGGCTTCTTTTTTTTTTTTGTAATTTCATAAATAAAACAAGGAAGTAATCCAAACACTCATCTTGGATTCCTCTTCTTTTGAGACATGTCTGATGTCCAGACATGAGTGACTCATGCTGGTTCCCGACATTCAGCCTGACCAATCCCATCAGCTTTCTTCAGCAGCGACAGATTCAGAAGTCAAGCACAATGAAGTTCAGAGGGTAAATTTGGGGTCATACTTCCTGACTTCCAGCAGGAGGCGCTCTTTCTCTCTGAGAGCCTGAGTAAGTGCAGCCTGTACCTCACAGAGCTGTGACTCCAGTGGTTGTATCTGCAACAACAGGATTAATGGATTAGTTAGCTACAGACCATGCGGGCTGATACGTGATTCTGAAAGCACTACCATTACATAACTCTGTGCATTTAAGACACATCGCTGTAAGTAAGAGGGCACTAGTTTTACATCTGTATTTAAAGATTAATAGTTAATCTAACTGAGCTGAGTTTTAAATATCTTGACCCCACTAAAAATGAATAAAAGTCAAAGATACACACACAAATTTGAGCCCCAGAAAGCGGTACATTACAGAGCAACACATCATTATATACACATTACCTCACTCTGCTGTTGGACAGTGAAAGAGTTGTTAGGGTTATCCCCACCAGTTTCTGGGAAATTTCCTAATGCTTTAGAGCCTCCACCTCCAGCTGCAGCCAGAAAGGAAAATAGTGATGATCAGTTTCTGTTCATCTTTCTTTAGAACTGTGACAGCTGATACTCTATAGCTGGGTCTTTGTGGTTTCAAGGTTCATGATCAAGAATCTAAAATTCATCATGGTGAACACAATTCACGTTGAAAAGCGTTCTTTTCTTGCTCACCTCTGACTCTCATGATGCCATCATCACTACGCTCGAGAACCAGCTCATCTACAATGAATGTGGCTGGAACAGGTTGGGGGGCTGTGGGGTATATTCTGGGGCCATCATCCTTGAAACAAAAATTAATTAATTAATTTAAAAAAAAAAAAAGTTCTTTTGAAAGGTTGATGTTGAAAATATTTTAGTGGAGTTTTTGTGACTCAACAGATACCGACATCCAAAGCAAACACTTCACATGCCACGAGGACAGAAAGACACTTACCTTCATCGTGATGGTGACGTTGCTCATGTGCAACTGCATTGGCTGACCGTCAACGCTGAATTCGTCTTCAAGGAAAGGACCAATGTTAGTAACTGTTGAGGCTAACAACTCAGCCTGACAGTCTTGCACTCTCACATCCAGAAAGCCCAGTGATTCAGCCAGAGCAGAGCGCCGAGCTGCAGCTGGACCCATTTCCGCCCGCACGGACAGTGCTGGAGAGGCACTGCTACCCTCCCTACTCTGCTTCTGGACTGGCAAAACTGGTGCTGCACAACAAAAGAAAAAAAAAGGTACATTTGTAAACCATTCTGAGAACGCACACAGAACTCAGGTTCCAGCATGCTCTCCCAACATTAACTAATCTAGTTCAATTTTTGAGCTGAGCTAATATGTGCATACAGTGCTGTGAAACCCTCCTTACTAACTTCTAGGTTTCTGGATATTTGTCATACACGTTTCAGAATAAATAACCTTTAATGTTAGAGAAAACTTGAGAAACTACAAAATGCAGTTTTTAAAAGAGGATTTTATGTATTAAGTGAAAAAGTATCTAAATCCACCTGGCCCTATGAGAAAAATTTATCGTCTCCTTGTGCCACAAAACTGGTTGTGCCACCCTTGACAATGGGAAATGTAATCAAACATTTGCAATAACTCACAGTGAGTCTTTCACAATGCTGTAGAGGAATTTTGGTCCACTCTTCTTTGAGAATTGTTTTAAATCCAGCCACAGTGGAAGATTTATGAGCATGAATGGAGATTTGAGGTCATATGAAAGCACTAGGCCACTCCAAAACCTTTTTTTTTTTTTTTTTTAAATTCATGTTTCCATCAATTATGGCAAGTTGTCCAGATCCAGTCTGTAACATCAGTGCACTAGTGAGTATTTTCTCAAAAGTTTTGGGCATCATCAAGATGTTTTTTGCTAAAGGTGAGACAAGCCATTGTGTTTTTTTGTTGTTGTTGTTCAGTATTGGCTTTGACCTTGGAAATCTTCCACAGATCCCATTTTGGGCCAGTTTTTTTTCTTATTGATCTTAAGTTGTTCTGGGTTCTTTTGTGACTTCCTGGATGAAAATTGAGTATTCTTGGAGTAATTTATAAATTTAAATTAAAAATGTAATTTTACTTTTTTAAAAATCAAATACAAAATAAAATTTTGTATTTACTTGGATTATCTTTGTTTAATATATTGTTTGATGTGGTTGATATTAAAAAAAAAATCCGGAAGGGGACAAACACTTTTTCACAGCACTGTATACAGTCCCTGTATAAAGTATGTTTTTATGAGTTCATTATGAAGGATTGTTTATGAGCCAAAAAGCTATTAAAGACCACGAAACAGAACCTATTCATTTTTGATTTTTCTTAAGCCCAATCACACTAAGAATCA